AAGTGTCCTGAGTGGGTAGCATCCAGAATTTACTCGAAACGAAGTCATTTAGAATGTTTTTAGAGCATAAACAGTAGTGTATAGGATTTCCTAATAGCGCCCCCATGCGCGCTCGCGATTCTACGGAAGCCGGCAGACCAAACCAGCGCATTCAGCTCGGCAAAGAACTCATGCTCTTCCTCAACACTGAAGTCCTCAGACATTTTTCTTTCGTTGTTTCTTTCTTTGCACAGGTAAACAGCACATTTCTTCTTCTACGCTTGCATTATCGGCAGACCAGACGCTGAATGCGCACTTTCTTCCGGTTTGGTCTGCCGGCTTCCGTAGCGTCGTGAGCGCGCATGGGGGCGCTATTAGGAAATCCTATACACTACTGTTTATGCTCTAAAAACATTCTAAATGACTTCGTTTCGAGTAAATTCTGGATGCTACCCACTCAGGACACTTGGATTACATTGGACGAGCAGTATGGAGGAATATTGACACGTTTTTGTGGACTTTTATGGACCTTTCTGTCTCGGGCACAATAGACCTCCATTATTTGAATGTCAGCAGACAGCAAGAAGCCTCCCAGATCTCCAGATGCATTTGAGATATCAAAAAAGTACTCCAGAGTGTTGTTCAGCATGGGGGTGAGTAGAAAATGAAGGCTAATCATGTTTTGGGTGTACTATTCCTTTAAGCCAGGGCAGCGGGGGAACGGTTAGCAATAGGAAATTAAAAGTGTTACAAGGACCGAGTTCCGAATCCAAAGCTAAACACTGATCTGACTGAGCGGAACCTGCAGAGAACTTTCAGTTCCTGGAAGTTCTTCCTGTTAGTTTCCTCGCCCCTGCGGCGGTGATCTACGCCAGATGTTTGTGGTCGAGTGTGGAAACGTTTCCAGGGGTCTGAATACTTTAGCATGTCGCCAGACATCAGGAATGTTTCAACTGGAACGTAAATAATCTGCGGCGATGGACGCTGCAGCTCCATCATCCAGAGCTGACCTGCTGCTGCTGATGCTGAGGGCGCTCGCCATGGCGACCACACATCCATCAACTGTTAAAGCAACACAGCGCATTTAAAGCTACCACTGAAAAAATGCAGAACATAGCTGAAAATAATAAAATAAAGAATTAAATACAGCATAACAATATAAACTAAGGCAATAATAGGATTCCTTTAATTAAAGAAGTACTGCCAGTACTGAAAGACTCTCAGCCATCCACGTTATAGTCGTTCCAAAAAAGTTCATAAAGTTCAAATCAATCCTCTGGACTTTGTTTCCAGGTTTGAAGACGTTTCTCTTCCATCCAGGAAGATTTTTCAATCAAAATGTCAGAAATAGCGTTTAGTTCCAGGTTTTATCCAGCAGCCCAACAAAGCCTGGTTTTAGTTTAGAAAACATGCAAATAGAAACGGATGAACGGGTCCCCCCCTTTGGAATGGGGGTCGTTAGGCTGCTAAGTTAGCCTGCAATGTCCCATACCTGTCTATGCCTCTGAAAGGGGGGTCGTTAGAGGGAATAGTTGGCCTGGCTGAACAGGCGGGCTGTATGGGGGCGCGGATTGTGATGATAGCAGGAAGGAATCAACATTATCGCTTTATTGTAGCTCTTAAAAACTTTGCTGAATTCCAAAAAACACAAAAGATGTGAAGAATTTAATTATAGCAAAGTATATTTTTATCTTGTAAACTTTCTGGTAAACTTGAGGATTTATCTTATTGCATTTCCCAGTGTTTCAAATGTAAATCTGCAGCTCTTCCTGCTTCTAAACACATTAATGAACCAACCTTCTGTTCTAATGATCCCGGAGAAACTCTATATTAGAACATATTAAACATGCGTCTCAGTAGCAGAAGGAGGAGCAGGACAAGTGATGGAGGCGCAGGTAAAGCTCCATGAGCCTGATGTTCAGAGCAATAAATAAATACATCAGTTAAAATGGTTGAATGATGGGGTAAACATGGAGGACAGAGGAAGCAAAGGTCTCCTTAAAGCTACAGGGTGTCTCTAAGATCAAAGCTTTCATTGTTTGCTAACATGATGCAGGTCAGAGAAACAGGCAGCTTCACTTCTTCTTCTGTCCAAAAACATCCATCAGAGCCACGAAGCTGCGTTCAACCACAACTAGAAAATAATAAACCAGGAGGACGGCTGATCAGAAAAATAAACTTTATTTGTCTTTGACATTATTTAATATCAGCAGTTTTGTGACATTTACGCTGGACGCCCCGCTGCTGTTAGACACAGGCTGAGACCTGAAGCTGACCTTTAACCCCTTAAAGCTCAGTCAGGGTAACGTATTCGTCACCATCTGCAGTCTGACCTCCTCAGACATCTTCCTGCATCTATTTCTGCCGCTGCGGCGCGAACAGAGCCGCCGTCACACCTGGAAAACACGCTTCCTTCACTTCCTGCGGGAAAAACCAAGTCAGACCATCAAAAGGGGAACCAGCCTGATGGCGTTCCTGCTGATCTGCCACGGCGAGTCCAGCGCGGCGCTGCCTGTTGTCAGGGACGTTCACAGAGTGTGGGAGTGGGAGGCGTTTAACGAGCTAATAATAGAGAGCTGTCAGTCAGCCGTCCACAGGACAGACTGGACCTGACGCTTCATGGACCGCCGTCCAGATCAGAACCCAGACTGGACCCGACGGTTTATGGACCGCCGTCCAGATCAGAACCCAGACTGGACCTGACGGTTTATGGACCGCCGTCCAGTTCAGAACCACAGATCAGAAGATAGAAACTAACCACTGTGGTCATGGAGAAAACATGGAGGCTCCTCCTCAGCCACCAGCTGCTCTATGATCAACCAACTGTTCCTGATGTCAGACTGAAGGAAGAACCTCCAGGGATCCCTGAACACGCTCTGCTCCTCCATCCAGCCAATCCAACCGTGTTTTGGCCCCCAGTCACCCCGTGTTTTGGCCCCAGTCAGTGCCCTGTTGGCACCCAGTCAGACCCCTGTTGGCTCCCAGTCAGACCCCTGTTGGCTCCCAGTCAGAGCCCTGACTGGGTGCCAAACCCCTGTTGGCACCCAGTCGGACCCCTGTTGGCCCCCAGTCAGCCCGTGTTTTGGCCCCAGTCAGTGCCCTGTTGGCATCCAGTCAGACCCCTGTTGGCTCCCAGTCAGTGCCCTGTTGGCACCCAGTCAGACCCCTGTTGGCCCCCAGTCAGCCCCCTGTGGTGCTCCCAGTCAGCCCGTGTTTTGGCCCCAGTCAGTGCCCTGTTGGCACCCAGTCAGACCCCTGTTGGCCCCCAGTCAGCCCGTGTTTTGGCCCCAGTCAGTGCCCTGTTGGCACCCAGTCAGACCCCTGTTGGCCCCCAGTCACCCCGTGTTTTGGCCCCCAGTCAGTGCCCTGTTGGCCCCCAGTCAGCCCGTGTTTTGGCACCCAGTCAGACCCCTGTTGGCCCCCAGTCAGCCCGTGTTTTGGCCCCAGTCAGTGCGCTGTTGGCACCCAGTCAGACCCCTGTTGGCCCCCAGTCAGCCCGTGTTTTGGCCCCAGTCAGTGCGCTGTTGGCACCCAGTCAGACCCCTGTTGGCCCCCAGTCAGCCCGTGTTTTGGCCCCCAGTCAGCCCGTGTTTTGGCCCCTAGTCAGTCCGTGTTTGGCCCCCAGTCAGACCGTGTTTTGGCCCCCAGTCAGACCGTGTTTTGGCCCCCAGTGAGACCGTGTTTTGGCCCCAGTCAGTGCGCTGTTGGCACCCAGTCAGACCCCTGTTGGCCCCCAGTCAGCCCGTGTTTTGGCCCCAGTCAGTGCGCTGTTGGCACCCAGTCAGACCCCTGTTGGCCCCCAGTCAGCCCGTGTTTTGGCCCCCAGTCAGCCCGTGTTTTGGCCCCTAGTCAGTCCGTGTTTGGCCCCCAGTCAGACCGTGTTTTGGCCCCCAGTCAGACCGTGTTTTGGCCCCCAGTCAGACCGTGTTTTGGCCCCCAGTAAGCCTGTGTTTTGGCCCCCACCGATAGCCTAGGCCTGTAGGCCATCGATGTCAGACCCTCTATGGCCCCCCGGGCCCCTGTTGCCCCCCCTGTGGTGGATCTTACCGCAGCTGGTGATGGATCCTCTACAGACCGAAAAGGGAAGGTTAGCAGGAAGCTAGCGGCGCGCGCCGGTCTTCATATCCCGGGTTTTGTCTCACAGGGTGTCCTGGCTCATGTCCACCGCGGTCCTCCTGGGCTTCGGGGGGCCGCTGGGGTCCAGCACCGGGTTCCGGAGACAATAGGAGGGTTTTAGTGTCTCTAACGGTCAGGTCCGCAGAGCTAATAGCTTAGCCTGATTAGCTGCAGGCTAACGGGGACATTAGCAGCTCGGCGGGGTGTGGTTGATGGTTCCCTTCCTAACATCCCCTTAAAGCTCCTGCTGTGGCCCTAAAACCAGAACCCCATCCTCCGCCTGGACCCGCTTCTCTTCCCGTTTTTTGTTCCTGCTAGACACAAGATGGCTCAGGGGCGGGAGACCGAGCGGCACCAGCTCCACTTCCGGTGGGACTTCCGCTTCCAAAATAAAGCGACCTACATAAAGAAGCAGATGAGCTGTAATGGCCGCCAGTCACCGCAGGGGGCGATAACTGCGCCTGCATGGGCGGCTGATGACGTCAATCTGGACGCTTATAAAACAGCATTTTTATAAAAGAGCATTTAAATTCAACCACCTGCTTTTATAAACTGGCTGCAGGAATCTATAAGCCGGTGAAGCATGAATCTCAGGTGTACAGGTTGAAGCACCTGCAGTGGGAGGAGCCTGATCTGTCCTCCTGAAGGACGGGCCAAGAATGGAGTCGTAAAGGAATATTGGGAAATGAAGGGAATATAAAGGATATTCACAGATTCAGGAAAATATTATTTATTCATACATACAGAATACAAAATTAGAAAATAGAATTTTATGTAAAGTAGTGTTGCTACACACTCATGTACAGTAGGTGGCGGTATGCACCTTAAAGTTGCTTGCAATCCGCCATAATAGAAAAGAAGAAGAAGAAGATCTGTCCTCCTGCCGGTAGTTCAGAGGTTGAGGGCTTCAAGTAGAGCAACAATATTTCCATTCTATGCAACATCAACCTTTTCTCTGCAGAGACTGATGCAGCGGTGAGGTGGTGGGGCTTTGGTTCATTCCTCATTCACTAAAAGAAATGGGAAAAACTGTCACAAGAATAGTCAAAAGTCAATAGTCAAAAGAATAAAAATAGTTCCTCCAATACTAAAAAAGTCCATGAATAAGAGTGTTTGCCTACAGCTGTTTGTATTTGGAGGATACCTGGTTTAGGACACACAGGATGTCGGCTGCAATTTGGGCATTAATCAGGCTGCTGGTGTTCTGTCATACCAGCATACCCTATCAGACCAGCGTACCCCATCAGACCAGCATACCCTATCAGACCAGCGTACCCCATCAGACCAGCATACCCTATCAGACCAACATACCAGCTCAGACCAACATACCCCATCAGACCAGCATACCCCATCAGACCAACATACCCCATCAGACCAGCATACCCCCTCAGACCAGCATACCCTATCAGACCAGCATACCCCATCAGACCAGCATACCCCCTCAAACCAGCATACCCCATCAGACCAACATACCCCATCAGACCAGCATACCCCATCAGACCAGCATACCCCATCAGACCAGCATACCCCATCAGACCAACATACCCCATCAGACCAGCATACCCCATCAGACAGGCATACCGCATCAGACCAGCATACCCCATCAGACCAGCATACCCCATCAGACCAGCATACCCCATCAGACCAACATACCCCATCAGACCAGCATACCCCATCAGACCAACATACCCCATCAGACCAGCATACCCCATCAGACCAGCATACCCCATCAGACCAACATACCCCATCAGACCAGCATACCCCATCAGATAGGCATACCCCATCAGACCAACATACCCCATCAGACCAACATACCCCATCAGACCAGCATACCCCATCAGACCATCATACCCCATCAGACCAGCATACCCCCTCAGACCAGCATACCCCATCAGACCAGCATACCCCCTCAAACCAGCATACCCCATCAGACCAACATACCCCATCAGACAGGCATACCGCATCAGACCAGCATACCCCATCAGACCAGCATACCCCATCAGACCAGCATACCCCATCAGACCAACATACCCCATCAGACCAGCATACCCCATCAGACCAGCATACCCCATCAGACCAACATACCCCATCAGACCAGCATACCCCATCAGACCAACATACCCCATCAGACCAGCATACCCCATCAGACCAGCATACCCCATCAGACCAGCATACCCCATCAGATAGGTATACCCCATCAGACCAACATACCCCATCAGACCAGCATACCCCATCAGACCAACATACCCCATCAGACCAACATACCCCATCAGACCAGCATACCCCATCAGACCAACATACCCCATCGGACCAACATACCCCATCAGATAGGCATACCCCATCAGGTCAGCATACCCCATCAGATAGGCATACCCCATCAGATAGGCATACCCCATCAGACCAGCATACCCCATCAGACCAACATACCCCATCAGATAGGCATACCCCATCAGACCAGCATACCCCATCAGATAGGCATACCCCATCGGACCAACATACCCCATCAGATAGGCATACCCCATCAGATAGGCATACCCCATCAGACCAGCATACCCCATCAGACCAACATACCCCATCAGACCAGCATACCCCCTCAGACCAGCATACCCTATCAGACCAGCATACCCCATCAGACCAGCATACCCCCTCAAACCAGCATACCCCATCAGACCAACATACCCCGTCAGACCAGCATACCCCATCAGACCAGCATACCCCATCAGACCAGCATACCCCATCAGACCAGCATACCACATCAGACCAGCATACCCCATCAGACCAACATACCCCATCAGACCAGCATACCCCATCAGATAGGCATACCCCATCAGACCAACATACCCCATCAGACCAGCATACCCCATCAGACCAACATACCCCATCAGACCAACATACCCCATCAGACCAGCATACCCCATCAGACCAACATACCCCATCAGACCAGCATACCCCATCAGATAGGCATACCCCATCAGATAGGCATACCCCATCGGACCAACATACCCCATCAGATAGGCATACCCCATCAGATAGGCATACCCCATCAGATAGGCATACCCCATCAGACCAGCATACCCCATCGGACCAACATACCCCATCAGATAGGCATACCCCATCAGATAGGCATACCCCATCAGACCAGCATACCCCATCAGACCAACATACCCCATCAGATAGGCATACCCCATCAGATAGGCATACCCCATCAGACCAGCATACCCCATCAGATAGGCATACCCCATCGGACCAACATACCCCATCAGACCAGCATACCCCATCAGATAGGCATACCCCATCGGACCAACATACCCCATCAGATAGGCATACCCCATCAGATAGGCATACCCCATCAAATACAAACAGCATAAAAATAAAACAACAAGCCGTCCCATTGAGGCGTAATCGGAGACAATGACAGATGAAGTGGCTCCTGATGTCCAGTCTGCTCCTTTGTTTTAGTCGCTGTAACCGCAGAAAATCCCGCTTCACAAAGACAGGATGTTATAGATAGGATGTTATAGACAGGACGTTATAGATAGGATGTTATAGATAGGACGTTATAGATAGGACGTTATAGATAGGATGTTATAGACAGGATGTTATAGAGAGGATGTTATAGATAGGATGTTATAGACAGGATGTTATAGATAGGACGTTATAGATAGGATTTTATAGATAGGATGTTATAGACAGGATGTTATAGATAGGATGTTAGGACGTTATAGATAGGACGTTATAGATAGGATGTTATAGATAGGACGTTATAGATAGGATGTTATAGACAGGATGTTATAGATAGGACGTTATAGATAGGATGTTATAGACAGGATGTTATAGACAGGATGTTATAGATAGGACGTTCTGGATAGGATGTTATAGATAGGATGTTATAGAGAGGATGTTATAGACAGGATGTTATAGATAGGACGTTATAGATAGGATTTTATAGATAGGATGTTATAGATAGGACGTTATAGATAGGACGTTATAGATAGGATGTTATAGAGAGGATGTTATAGACAGGATGTTATAGATAGGATGTTAGGACGTTATAGATAGGACGTTATAGATAGGATGTTATAGATAGGACGTTATAGATAGGATGTTATAGATAGGACGTTATAGATAGGATGTTATAGACAGGATGTTATAGATAGGACGTTATAGATAGGATGTTATAGACAGGATGTTATAGACAGGATGTTATAGATAGGACGTTCTGGATAGGATGTTATAGATAGGATGTTATAGAGAGGATGTTATAGATAGGACGTTATAGATAGGATGTTATAGACAGGATGTTATAGATAGGACGTTATAGATAGGACGTTATAGATAGGATGTTATAGAGAGGATGTTATAGACAGGATGTTATAGATAGGATGTTATAGAGGGGATGTTATAGAGAGGATGTTGTAGATAGGATGTTATAGAGAGGATGTTATAGACAGGATGTTATAGATAGGATGAGTCTTGAACTGAATTACCTTGTGTCAAGAGGCACAGATTCACCGACTGATGGAATTGGGAGAGAATGCCGCAACTTTTTATATTTTTCAAAATAAAACATCACTCAGACTCTGATCGTCGCTAAATTATATATAGATATATATAATATATACGGATGGACCGGTACCGGTTCTGGGCCCGGCTGTGGCTGAAGTGTGACGTGTTCAGGAAGGGAATTGAAAAAGGGTTAGGGTCACCCACATTCTTGACAAATCTATAAAATGTGTGGAACCAAGAGGCGTCCCACTGAAGCTGACACCTTCCATGAAACGCTCACAGCTTCCGCTTTTATCCAGCCGGGACGACGCGCACTGTTCCACCTGCATCCCATGGATCATTAGCTGTACCAAAAGCTAATGCCTTCGCAGAGATTTAATGAATTTAGTGTTAATCAGTAAAAAATAATAATCGCATGACTGAGTCTGGGAGCGGCCATCTTTGCTCAAATATAGTAGCCCCTCCCTCCTGCCATCTTCCAGCAGTGACGTCACGTTGCGGTAAGCCTAGCGCCATTCTCCCCGCTTTACAAGCAAAATCAATGGGAACTACTAGACACATCTGCAATCAACAACAATTATTGAAGATAATAGCGCGTTGTGACAAACACCAGATACAGCACTGGGACTTGATCAACAGCCGATACCGCACCGTGACGTCACTAACCAGTAGGTGGCAGTAGTGTTCTTTGACAAACATGGATGCCTCCAGTAAAGCACATTCACATGAAAATTACTCTGAATTAAAAACACTGATCATTAATTGAACAGGATGGAATCATTTCAGATTTAAAGAACTTTCAGAAGTTTGAATTCTGAATATGAGCGACTTTTCCTTGAAAGCCTCTCATTCACTTCTAGCTGCTTCTCCAGCCTTCGTCCAATCAGAGCGCAGCACAGAGCCAAGCGCCATGACATCACTGCTGGAATTTTCTAACAAATTTATCAACTTGTTGGTTTAATAAAGCGCAGAAATCTCCATGGAAACCGGAGCTTTTTGATAAAAATATGTATTTTTAGGTTGATATATTTTTCAAGTCAGTTATCATTTATTTAAAAAAAACTTCTCAGCCATAAATATTTATAGTTTAATTTGTTTGCATTTTCATTTTGAATGTATTTTATTAGATGAGGCTGGAATAATAATGAAAAACAAATACAGTGATTTCAATTTTAAAGTTTCTACAAATCAAAAACCTTTGGCTGCATTGATTGTACATTAAAAGGCTTCAGATAAACTCTGTTTTTCTCTCAAATTTTTATTCTATCATTATCTCATTGCTGCTATATTTCCTTTGTCCAGTAGGGGGCAGCTGAAGCACCGCAGTGAAAAGCAGATCTAGGAAGCAGATCTAGGAAGCATCTATAAACAGCGGCTGTAGAATAATCATCGTGGCTCAAAGTGTGAAGAACTGAGATGTTTTTCCAGCTCATGGGATGAATTCAGTGATTCCTGTCAGCCAATCAGGAGCTTGTGGTTTGGTCTAAAGTCAGGGCTTCAGTTT